CAGTTTTAAGCATGCATGCTAGGAAACCGTGTAGTCTACACAGTTGTTTGAAGGTGCATGGTTGAAACTGTGTCAATGCGTGTATTAACTGTGTAACTTTTGGGACCACATTTGCCAAAAGTACATAGTTGGATTTTGAGCAGACCGTGTCTGACACGGTCCTGACTCAGGACTGTGTTATCTTGCCTGTTTTTTCCTAGTGACTGGTGCACATGTGTGGCTATGGATCCCGCTCGACCACCGCTTGTGGCCTCGCCAGAGTGGGAGGTCGTCCGCGACGCCTCGGTGATGGCCAAGCGTCATGGCAAGGGGGCGGCGGGCTGACCCGGCCAACCCTGTCGATTGCGTATGCAAGGCAAGGCACTGCTTACTGGCAGCTGTGTGAGACACTGCCCGTGACTGAAGCCGGCGACTATGTGCCCACAGCCTGCTGTGTTGGTTATGCCTCTGAGCCCGTACTAGGCACACCGACCTGCCGGTTGCTAGCCCCGCTCAAAGGCCCCATGCGCCACTCCGCGCCCATGTGCATTTCGATCGCTGCAGGCATCCCATAACAATCTCTTACGACAAAGCCCTCGGCTTGGCGCAAGGGGCGCTCACCCACACGGGCGTAGTCATGCTCTCCCCCCTCGTTTAGCCCCCCTGGTTTTGGGACTCCCGAGAGGCAGCGAACGGCTGCCCACAGTGTTTTGCACAGTATTGTTGCTTAACTCACACCAAATAATTCCTCCTCCTGTAGGAGCCGGGCTGAAGGACTTCTGTTCCAAAAGCCTTGTCCATTATGCATGTTGTATAAATGGAGATCAAAACGTGCGAGTCAAAGACTTTTGACATGCCATATCAATTGCTATCCGTAGAGCCATTTAGCATGGAAAACGGCATTGCCTGCCATGACATGTGTGAAGAGGAGCACAGGCGCCACGTTTCCTTGTGCCGGGACGCAGAGGTGGGCATGGCCAGTTTGTATCGCCCTTCGGCGGAGGTGGATCAAGCTGAGCTACTCCTTTGAGAAATGTATGACTTGGTGCATGGATATTCACAAAAGATACGGCTAGATTCTGAACAGAATCTACAACGCAAAGGTTGCTTCTTTAGGGTTTAGGGTGTTGAAAAGTACTGTGCGAGTGTTGAGGGGCACCTTGTTCTGGGGAAGGTCATCAAACTGGTGTAGAAAGTCGTGCATAATGATGCTCACCAAAAACACGGCATAAATTGCTGTCAGCATGGCCAATGATTGAAATCGAGAAATTTTGAAACGCGGCTTAGCATAGTGGAAAAGATGGTCCACAAAAGAATATGACAGAAATTATGCCAATACTCTCAAAAGGGTGAATTACTGCTCATTTTTTGTCTGCAAAAATGTTCTTGAAGAATTTTGGGGAAATAGGTTGGAATACAGCTGGATAAGGTGAGCACAAGACTGCGGGGAATTAAGGCCCTGACACAATCGGACAGGGATCTTTTGGTAAGGTTGAGAATGCCTTGCTATGCTGTGGCGACTAATGTAAATAAGATCCACATCAACCCAAAATCGAACAAGACACCCAAATCTGGCGACAGATTGGCTAATTGAACTGATCTGCAAAGTTATATTACAACTAATAGGAAGATTCGATAACGAGCACGACTTTTGGAATGGATTCAATACGTAAAATAACATAAACACCCGCACGTGTACATAAAGTCATTACGTGTAGACCTGAGGAGTCCGTGGGGCAGCAACTGGACGCACTGAAGTGGGTAGAAAGCGAAATTTTGTTCGACGACGCTGTTGCCTTTGCTGAGGGCTAGGCGGACGCTATGTTGCGCTTATTCAAGGGGGCAGAGGACTGTACGAGATTGTACAAGACTTTCTCATGTAACCAAAGTGTCGCAAAGAACCAAAAACACGTATATATAGCCGGAAAAATAGTCCCTTTTGCAACTTTACTTTCTGTGTCCAAAACATAAAAGTAAATAACAAGCCGGCAAGAAACTAAGATATTGCATATCGTTCGGGTGCGCACAGGTGATTCTGTTCCTCACGGATGGGGAAGACTGCTCGATTGCCGACAAACAGTCATGTGGCGATTCTGAAAACATGGCAGAAAATGCTGACACCGTTGCTGATTTCATAAAAGAGAAGCAAGCGGAGCTGATGGATCTGGACAGCGAAGGTGCTCATATTTTCACGTTCTCCATGACATCAGACGCAGATGATAAGCTGGCAAAGATGATCGCCTGCGAAAACAACGGTTCCTGGGCACTCATTGGAGGTAATGATGGCAATGCGAGCGACTGTAACAGGCGCTGCTGGGATGCACGAAAATCGAGATGTATTGTATTCGAATGTTCCAATGTTCACATGGCCTGTACTGCTGCCAAATCATGAGGCTCAAAATCATGTCTCCTCTGTCCGGAATCGAGTGTCGTTTTTTGTTTGGGTGACCGCAATTATATCAAGACTCTTAATGATTCAAGAACTAGTTTATTTCGCTGAAATCTGAGCCAGGTAGTTGTTTGAGAGTCAAATATTATCCACGAATTCCTTTTGAACGCAAATGTATTCAGATGTGCTTTGAGCCCCCTCGACTGAGTACAAAAGTTGAAAGCTTCCAAAGTCTCGTAGAACCTGTAAAATGGCTTGCCCTAAGAGGGGCCCTCCCCGCGAACCTAACGGTTAGAGGAGATGGGGCTGCCAACACCACCAAATTCAACGTGGTATGGTCACCTGCAACCAGGAATGATGCTGTGGCGCACGCAGCGGCGCACGAGGATACGAGAGTGCCAGTTGATTGTTATTGCCTCCGATTCCTGTCAAAATGCCGCCGCATGCGGAGCCACACATAATGGATATAACGATGACATTGAATTGTGGTAAACACGGCTTCCATAATTCTCAGGACCTTGTACTTCTGAATATGGTTTTGTATTTGATAATTGACTTCGCGAATGCAGTGAAATTTACCTTATTCAGAAGACAACATTCAATTCCGGATAGAAGAAATAACTGCCATTTTTTTCGAAATTGGCGAAGTTTATCCTTGAATCCTGTCTTCCCTCTAGTTGCTGCGCCAGGGCGGTGATGTGCAGGGCATTTCAATGCTCTTCAGTGAAGCAGTGCCTATATCAAAGTGACATCTGGGTTGATGCAGAAGATTGGTTGGGTATTTCGTATGTATGATAAGCTGAAAAAGAAGTTGTGAGCTTAACGTTATCCATTGGGACATAAATGCCCTCGAAGTTATTGGACATATTTCATGGCGGCCTATTGATAGTGCATGCAGAGCAATACCGCATGCATTCATACCTGGGCCGTTGTCTTCACACTTGAATTAACAACCCCGATTAGAGTTATGACAATCGAATTTTCGCAATTATTTCCAAGTGCTTAGAAACACGCGGAAATTTCAATGCCATTTCATGAAGTTTGCAACCATGTTGTGGCAGCGGTAAACGCCAGAACATAGTGTACTGGTAAATGCTAAAATTATAACATCGTGCACAACCTTACCTTTGTCTCTTGTGCCAGTTAAGAGTGTTTAAAATCGATTTTTTTGAGATTGCCTCCAAGTGCTCAGACACGCTTCTGGAACCCTAGCAGAAATTCTAATTTCAATTTCCATTGGCAAAAACCTTTCAAGGCGTGGCCCGGAACTATTTTCAGCAATGCAATCTTCTCATCTCGTGCATAATGGAAGCTTGCTGCTCACATTGGCTCGTGCATCGCTGGACAGAAAACGACGACCCCTTGGTGCAGTTCTTGGATTACATTAGATTCTTAGCCTGGGCGCGTCGAGGCGTCGACGTCATCTGGAGCAACTTCTACGTGGACTTCGAGGGCCTGGGAAACGTAACGACCGCTGTGATGCCGGTGTACGCCCCAGACACGGCGGAAGGTATACCTGGACTCCTGGTTGCCGTGGTTGCAAAGGACGTGATGCTGTCGCAGCTGGCGGAAGACGACGTTGATTTCAAGGTGGTTTTCGACAGGCTCATCGAGAGATCGTCGGTTTGCCGGAAGATGGAAAAAAATGTTTGCCAACTTCAGGTGATGATTTCCAACTGCGAAGATTCGTATGCGAATCTTCGTACATGCTCTAAGCATGCCTAAAACCATATACAACTCGAAGTTGTATATGGCGCAGCCATTGGCTTGGGAGGTCCTTGTTGATGGACTCCATAAAAAAGGAGCTCCAGTGCAATGGACACAGCATGTGCGAATACGACAATATGCATTGTCATTGCTCGCATCTCGAAAATTCTTCCAGCACTTTACAGTGTATGACATGACATGTTATGTAATGGGTAATGTAACGTGTTCTATCTTTGTGTAGTCTTTATCTTTTTAATCATGTTTTACTGGCATTATTGTTTGGAAGTTTTAGATTGTATGGATAGGAGGCACTAAATTGCCTTCTTGGTCCAAATATTTTATCAAAATTGAATACCTTCTAGATAAAAATGGAAGGTACTGGCTGCTAAAAATGTGTAAACATATCACATCATCTATTTTCAGGAGCAATGGACTGATGATGTGGTATCACATCATCTGTTTTCAGGAGCAATGGACTGATGATGTGGTATCAACTGATTATTTTGAACTGTTCAGAACGTTGACCACGCAGTGGTGAATCGAGAAGCCAGCTTGGACAACAGGATTGGTTTGCCTTTCCAGCGCACTCTGAGCACAATCTAGGAGTGCTTGCTCTGCAGCAATGTATAGTGTAGTAACCAACATCAATGGAAAAGAGCTTTTGAAACGAGGATACAGTGGATAAGATTGTGATCGTGTAGGCAAGTTTTTTCGGATAGACAATATGCAGACTTGTCGACTAATTCTGAATCAAAAAGCGAACGAAGCATTCCGGCATGTGGCTTTGTGTTCCTGCATTGTATGAAGTTATGCCAAGGAACTTGCTTTGTCGTGCTCACTAACTCGGATCCCGAAAGTTCAAAGCAAGAGCGTACAACACATTTCGCCACCTCGGAGGGTGACCCAGTTCTGTTATTGTTGCAAGGTGCTGCGTGGAGAGAAGTCCGAGTGCCCCGACATTTTCGAGGAACGGTCCTGTTTCTATGTCGTCAGCGAAAGGAAGTACTACACTGTGGAGCTACAAAACAAGTTGCCTTTCGAAAAGGCGGCCAATGAGTGCATCAAGCAGGGTGGCCATCTGGCAGAGCCTAAATCCAACGAGGCTCATGCGTTCCTGTCGGGCCTGGCAACGCGAGAGGGGTGCTGGATCGGCCTTCGCCTCGGCGGCTCCTCTCCTTTCCGCTGGAGGTATTGAAATCCGTTATCACTCTGCAGAGAAAGTTGGAAGCAAAGCAGAATTTTGCGGTGGATATGAAACGGTGAAGTAGCTAGTTCACCACCAAGCCATGGTAAACTAGCTAAGTCGCCACCGAGCCGGTGAACTAGCTACTCAACCACCAACAGATCCCATTTGAGCAAACCCTGTAGAATGTGCTGGGGTGAGCTCGGTTCACCTCAGATAAACCAGAGATGGCTTAATGTCATTCCACAGAATTGTACATCTATTGTTCGGTGGATCATGATCACCATGCATTCGCTATCTTTTGGCCAGCCACATTTGCGCTGTTCACTCCTTAGCCATGGAAGGGTTGGTTTCATAGTTGATCGGAATTGGAGTGCACTGGCACCCCACTACATTGCCACTGCAGCCAAGCAAATGAGGTGTTGTACTGAAAAGTACGGATCGCCATAAAATTAGATGGGACTCCCACGTTTGAAGCCACTCAAACCAAAATGGCCTGTTTTTGCAAGGAATTGGTTGAACAGAGCGGCATGTCATCATAGACATTTCGATAAATCGATGCACAAATTGTGCCAGGTTGTTTAAATTCCTAATGCTGAGGACGCGCAAACACCATCTTCTCAAAAGCGAGCGTCACCGTCGACTCAAACGAAAGCCTTGCATCATCTCATACAATGGTTGGAAATGCTCGAATTGACGATGTCTATGTACTCATTGTGTTTGTTTTGGAAGGCTTGGCATCAATTGGCACAACTTCAATAATCTTTTCGCTCTGTGTACAACAGTCTCGAATGACCTGTTAGGAGGGGATGCCGTTTGCGCGACCAGTTTTGCTCTTGAAATGCAAAAAAAAATTAACGCTCCCTTCCCCCCTTTCAGTGTCAGTCCTCATATCGATGCCACGATGACTCAGCAACCCACCTAAATGTACGGCGCAACATTGAGACGTTTTGAAGGAAGGCAAACAGCCAGCGCTGCAGACGTTGTGGATAGCTGGAAAGTGCGATACTTGAAACTATGGTAGATAATTGGGCAGTCCCGGAGGGTGTCCACTACAACATTTTGGAAATCTGTTCAAAAATCTGGCACTTCAAGCAGTTCTTTTAAGAATGCCACGACTTGTTTGTTTCTGATGCACAGCGGTTTGGTTGTCTTCCTAGCTCATATGAATTTGGCGATTGCGTAAGTTCTTGACGTCGTAATTTTGACATCCCCTCCCTACCAGTGTTGATTTGAATTTAAGCTTGCCGATTTCGCAATAGTCTGCAAAAGTCACGCAAAACGCGTCGCAAAAAATTTGAGGGATAGAGGTGCTACAGTTGAAATGCTGCCCCTCAACGCTCTGCTGTTATTGTTTTTGTTGTTGCCGCCACATGAATCGCTCTGTAGCTTAGAATTTTCTAGTTTTGATAGAACTGACCGGTTTCACATATTTCTACTTAAAGAATACGGAAAAAACGTATCGTATGTCGCCTGTACGCGATTCCGCAATCCACAGCAAGTGCATGAACAGATGATCAGCTTGATGTAGATGGTGCATGCTTGGATGTACACGTTTTAGCATTAAAACACCTACTCGTGCTCATGACAGGTGGAATTCCTCGGGTGAAGAGGGGCCGCAGATTCCAAGAACCGATCCATCCAAGTCTTCCTTTTGGGCTTCTCGAGCGTTAGAAGCAAATGAATGCGCGTCGATAGACCGACGGGGAAGGACCAAGAATGTGTTTGATGTTTCCTGCCAGGAGGAAATGGCGTTCATCTGCGAATTCGACGAGATGAAGGAGCCGGAGCAGTGTTCTGTGAGTAGTACTATCCGGAATTATTGAAACAGTTTGTTGATTGACCGCATTCGCATCATGTACTTTCTGTTTTCTTTTGAAAACTGGAATAGAGTATCTAGTATGCATTCAGTCAATGCTATCAAAAAGCATCAACAGAAATTAAAATTCACGCATATGGTAGTACTTTGAGGCCGAATGACTAAGCCCTAGAATGTGAATGTACACAGACAGTGGGCTTAGTCCCCAAACCCACCAAAACCTGGCGCCCCGGATCCTGGAATGGCCGGCGCACGAGTGATGCCCCCTCCAGTGATTTTCGCAGTATCAGAAGTTGCCCTCGTCGCTCGGGCTCTAGCCCAAAGATCAATACCCTTTGCAAAGCGCGATCGACAGAAATGGCCCTAGGTCGGCGTACCGCCATCAATGTACATTCGAAATCCCCGACATCTTCCACGGCGGCACACAGACATGCATCCCCTACTACATTGATGTATCCCAGCGGCTAAAGACTAGTCAAAGGATATTATGCGTGCGACATGAGCTCTGCGCTTGTCACAGATCTCCAAATAAGTGCCTGCCCCGATGCAAGCGATGCCCCCATGCATCAACTCCGCCAAAAATGACGATTCAGGGTTGGATGGGTTATCAACACCTCACGTGTCGCCCTGGTGGCGCTCTTGCGTCTTGCGGTGACACAGACGCACTTCTGCTGCAGCGGCTCCGCCCAAAGCGGGGCGAACAGTGCGCGAAGTGTTGATCGCAGCACGTGCCCGCTACAGTCAGTTTTGAGAATCTTTCGTCTGCTGTGCAGCGAGGGGATGATCACGTTCTCCCAACCTTTTCGTGGTGATCTTGGCACCCACAGCGACCTCGTCCATGGTGTCGCCCCTTTCTGAAAACGCCACGATTGTGAAGTTCGCCGATTCTGAGTGTCTGATCCGGAGCTGGCATGCTCATCGGGCCGTCAAAACCACAGTCGCGATTGGCGATCGAGCGGTACACAGCCCGGGTTCGTGGTCTTCCCTCTTTTGGGGAGGAGCATTTGGGATCCGCCACTAAGGCAGTAGAAACAAATATCCACTCGTGTCTGCGCCCCATCCCTCGCAAGGCAACCTGGTAAAGGACAGTTTTGGGGACTGCTCTGCCTGGACTTGAGAAACTTGGAAATTTTGGCCTGAACCACAAGGTCTCAAGGTACTACCACGTGAAAGGTAATTATCCGTTGCGAATAAAAACCATGCAATGCATGTTAATGTGTAGGCTGTGCTTTGGTCCAATTTAGAAGGATAAATAGCAAGTTTGTGATACACATGTGGCCTCACAAACAAATTGTTTCATATATAATTCCGGGCAGAGGCAGCAATTTGAAGGACGGTCGTGGCGAGTTGGACGTAAAATACATTGTGTGGACAGTGCCATGACGCGCGACAATGTGTTTCTGGGGAGACCAAGGCACATTCCATTACTTGTTGTCTGTCTGAGTTATCTGCGTGCTGGCGTTGTTCTGTCTTCTGGGTATTGGGATGAGAGGGACATAGGAGGCGAGGGACAGAGGAGGAGCTTGGAAGATTATACACAACATTGTCGAGATTTCCAAAGCATATGCTTACTGTGAACAACCCAAAAGCCTCAGTCGCAAGCCTGATATCAAACTGCAAATCTTTACAAGTCCAAGTGGCATCGTTTTCAATTAATGAAGAACGTTTCACTATTGTGCCGTGGCTGCACTGACAAAAGGTAAACAGTCACAGGCATAGCTTGCCAAGACTGCTGAGTGACATGTTGCAGCTTCCACACGATTGCGATATTGTGATGTTGTGTTGGTTACCTCAAATTACCTCTCTTGTTGCAGGGCATTGGCACCTTGAGGGTGACTGACCAGTTTGCTTCAACGGTGCCGCCGATAAGCCTTTGTGGTGACTATGAAAAGGCACGCATAGCCAGCATTGCGGTCGTGAATGAAACCTACGCAATCGAGTCAAACACGGCAGTGTGCTCCCTGGGAAGTCCAGAGTTGTCCACTGTGCAAGCGCAGTGCTGCTCCTGTGGAGAGAGGCCCCCAAGCCCAAAGCCCGAAATTTGCGAAGGCGGGTGAGTATATACGCACGTGCCAGATAGAGACATTAGAATCCCTCGCAGAGTCAGCTGCAAAACCCTGCTGCATACATCGCTTGCGCAGCTGCGAAATGGGATATTTCGCAATCACGTTGACAGCGTGTACGAGCGGATTGGTTGAGGTGCAGCATGGGATTGATCCATTCATGTATCCATGAAGCAACCTCTATTTATGATGTTAATTATTAAGAGCGCGAAATCCGATCGAACATAAACGCCTTAAAACCACGTCATATTGGGGTCTGTGCAAGGCACATTTAATGGTGGGCGGCAAAAGAACACTTGGCACTCCTTCTGCTAAGGTGGAAGACACCAGGCCTTTCCATTTCTTCTGGTAGGAGGTTGCATGCCTTGCTTCGTAATTTTCTTGTGAATAAGTAAACTGACCATTTTTCTTAGAAATGAAGAGAAAACGTCAGATTGACACAGCCTATTATCGGGAGCTGTCGTTAAATTGTTCTCTTCCTCCGGTGTGCAGCAGGTTTGTGCATAACGCAGTATACAGCCCGTACAGCCGTACAGTATCCCGGACCTGATACAGCCCGTACCCCAAAACAGATTCTCAAATTTTGCTTCAGGATTAAACCGCGATGTCACGGACTCGTATGTGGGTATGTATAAATACCAGGAGTATATGGGTACTCGCAAGTGCCTATGTTGATGAAGCGGAGCTCGTGGTCGCCGCTCCTACATCCAAGTGCTTGCTGGCTATATATCGCGGCACCTGTCGCGCTTGATGCTTACGCGTGGGCGTGCTGACCCAGGATTGACGACCCACCATGCAAAGATGGGTAGGAACGCGGGACTTGGTTGCCCCGGGAGTAAGGAGCATCGTTCAGGAGCTGGCACAGAAACATGCCGAAGCTGAGGCAATGCGCATCAAGATACCCCATAGCGGGAGGTCTGCTGGGAACCTGCTGAAAGAATCCTCTTAGTAGCCTGTGTAAAGCGGCAATTAAAGTCAGTAACGCTTCTGTCTCGTAGCACGTGCATTACAACAATCATCAAATATTTCAAGAAAAGTCTCTGAGCCGTGAAGGATAACGAGGATGTTGGAGCAATTCGTGATGAAATGCCGACAATTAGGCAGCAATTCTGAGATGCCAAGC